ACTGTACCACAACAATACTCAATTATTCATCAATGCTGGCAGGCCAGTAGCTCTTTCAAGACAATATAATTTATGGTTGAAGTATTTCTGAAACAGTCCTGGAAGATCACTACAGTTTGAAAAGGATAATAAGAAACCCCCAATTTTTTAACAGCTTCTTCCACGTTGAAATGTCTCCCTAATCTCTCCTCTTTCGGCGTGATGTGAGTAGCATTAAACCAAAGCAGAAAGGTACTCTAAAACGCAAATTAACTTTGGACACATCCACTGTACGCTCTAAAGAAAAAAATTATCTCCACAGTTAACCAGACAGTCTAAGGAAGCTTTGCTTCCCAAAGCAATGAGAATGTAACTACTTTAATTCACACAACAATTATTTACAGAATTAGCAGAGGTGAAGAAAAAAAAAATTAATGTGTAGTCAGAAGACAGGTCCAGTGATGTTTCAGCACATATGGAGGTAACTTGTGTGCTTTAGGTCCCAGACAACGGTATAGTAGTTCAGAATGAAGACAATTTTATTTGCATTATAAAAACCCAAGCATCTGAGGGGTAGTGAGAACTAAGACAACTCACAGCAATGTTAGGTACTCTCATCATTAAAAAGTATTGCATTTTGTCTTGCTTTAGCTTCCACCCCTGACTGTGGGATGGTGTAATGGCAGGTTTAAATCCTGTAAAATTTAAGTCCACCTCTGGGCATCTATGAATAGGTCCTCTCTTAACCTTCCTGTATAACTAAATCAAAGTGTTTAAGGTTTTCACAGATATTACGAATCCAGGAAATTGGCTGAAGGCTTTCTAGTTTTAAAGCATAGGACAGAACTGGATGCTAAGTTCACTAAGTCTTGGCAGGGCTCTGTGTTGAGTCTCCTGTCTGTTTCTGCAGGAGATGATCCAGTCACACTCAAAAGAATCATATCAATTCTCTTTGCATCTGCAATACATTTATTCATCAGTCTTACACAGCAAATGTAGACCATAGTACGAATTTACTAGTAGTGGATCGCTGCCCTATGTCGTCAAACAAAACTGTCCATTGAAGTAACCTGTGAACATGAGAGTAATATGCATTTAACATTTCTCATTAAATTTCAAAAGAAACTTACTTTAAAAATTATGTTTTACTAAAGCTCTTATTTCACTTAAAAAAACAAGAATAGATAGTGACAAAACACATTTGGTATCTAATTTTACTGACATCACACAGTAGCAGCAGGGAAGCATCATGTAACTACAACACGAAGCGGTGTGACTGCCAAAGTCGTATCAGTTTCTACTTCTAAGTCTGCACCTGTTTAATTTCATTCACTCGCTGATGTGTGATTCGCTGTTCTCACAGACAGGTGAATGATACAAATTATGCTCATTTTAACTCACACAAAGGTGTGAGAAAAGATCCCTTGCATTTTCTTTAGTGAGCTCAGCAACATGGGTTCCTTGGGAAAAAACACACAGTACAAACCAGTACTGTTGTAGCATGTGTCTGAAAACAGAAATACATAGAAAAGTTAGGAGGATCATAATGAAAATTAAGACTAAATAAAAAAAGTGCTCCATGACACCAACAATGGATACTCTACACACTACTGCTCAGAATACAGAGAAAAGCAAGAAAGGAAACAGGTATTTGTATAAATCAGTGCACTCCACCCTTGCATCTTGTAGGATTCAGTATTTACTACATCATCTGTGAGAACTGAAGACATCATTGCAAAAATGAATCACCTAGGAATGCAACCCTATCAGCTGTGATCATGGAAGTTTTAGGGCAAAAAATCTTCATCACTCTCCTTTCAGTTTGCATTTGCCTTAGTGTTCAGATTACAGAAGCCATAATAACCAATACAAAGAAAAACTTCAATCAGATATGTCACAGTCTAGAGGCATTTCTAAGACAGTCCTGTTCAAATAATCTTTGAAAATAGGGAAGAAATTGATTGTATAATCTCTTACCAGTTTATACCTCTCACAACAGGTTGCCCAGAGAAGCCGTGGATGCCCCATCCCTGGAGGTGTTCAAGGCCAGGTTGGATGGGGCTTTGAGGATCTAGTGGAGGGTGTCCCTGCCCACAGCAGGGGGGTGGAAATAGGACCCTTTAAGGTCCCTTCCAACCCAGGCCATTCCGTGATTCTACGACCACAGTAAAGTACTACAGTCTCTTGTAAGAGCCAACATGCAGTGCCCTCGGATGGCCTTACGTAGCACGGCGAACAGCACGGCTGCCTCACCGAAAATCTGCCCCTCCAAGCGCGGTAAGCTTCGCTACAGCTCAAAACCGGATTTTAATATTGCAGTCATTCCAAAAAAATACAAATCACACAAGAACAGTAAGGCAAAAAAGGCTACTCTCCCAACAATTTAGATAATTTTGTGCAGAACTACAACACGCTTACAATCATATAAGCAGTACTAGGTAAATATGTAGAATTGGTTTTTGCATCAGTCCTTCCTAAATTCAAGCAGCCATTTTCTTAAGAACTCTCCAACACTTGAAGATCATGAAGGAGATGAAATTATTTTCTATTT